ATCTATCTCTCCTTCTCTCTCCCCTTCTCCTATGCTCTCTCTTTCCTCCTCCCTCTCTGAATCTAAGTTTCTCATCAAGTCTGTATCTCTCCTTCTCTCTCCCCTTCTCTTATGCTCTCTCTTTCCTCCTCCCTCTCTGAATCTAAGTTTCTCATCAAGTCTATCTCTCCTTCTCTCTCCCCTTCTCTTATGCTCTCTCTTTCCTCCTCCCTCTCTGAATCTAAGTTTCTCATCAAATCTATCTCTCCTTCTCTCTCCCCTTCTCCTATGCTCTCTCTTTCCTCCTCCCTCTCTGAATCTAAGTTTCTCATCAAATCTATCTCTCCTTCTCTCTCCCCCTTCTCTTATGCTCTCTCTTTCCTCTCTCTCTGAATCTAAGTTTCTCATCAAGTCTATCTCTCCTTCTCTCTCCCCTTCTCTTATGCTCTCTCTTTCCTCCTCCCTCTCTGAATCTAAGTTTCTCATCAAATCTATCTCTCCTTCTCTCTCCCCTTCTCCTATGCTCTCTCTTTCCTCCTCCCTCTCTGAATCTAAGTTTCTCATCAAATCTATCTCTCCTTCTCTCTCCCCTTCTCCTATGCTCTCTCTTTCCTCCTCCCTCTCTGAATCTAAGTTTCTCATCAAATCTATCTCTCCTTCTCTCTCCCCTTCTCCTATGCTCTCTCTTTCCTCCTCCCTCTCTGAATCTAAGTTTCTCATCAAGTCTATCTCTCCTTCTCTTTCCACCTTCTCTTATGCTCTCTCTTTCCTCCTTCCTCTCTGAATCTAAGTTTCTCATCAAATCTATCTCTCCTTCTCTCTCCCCCTTCTCTTATGCTCTCTCTTTCCTCCCTCTCTGAATCTAAGTTTCTCATTAAGTCTATCTCTCTCTCTCTCTCTCCCTTCTGTCCCGCTCTTCTTTTCTCTGCCTCTCTTATGCTCTCTTTCTCAGTATCTTCTATCCCCTCTTTCATCACTTTGTCCCATCCCATTTTCAATGTTCTCATTCAGATCCATCCATACCAATCAGTTATCTGATACTTAAAAACCGTTACAAGCAGTATATTTTGTATACAAAATTTGTCACTTTTTATTCACATCCTTTCAAATTACACGCAAGGAAAGAAAACCCTTCCTCTTCCAAAATCCAAGCTAGGAAAAATTCTCACTTATTCTATGAGGTGTAGTTGCAATGGCACTTTTTAAAATAGAATCTGTATTATCTTTCTGCAATTATCACCCTTCAAAAATTAAAAATGTGTGAATTACATGTAGGGGAAAGATGTGGGTAACGGTGTAAAATGGCAGTGATCGCTACCATGCATTTGTGCCAAAAACAAACTTTCCATCGACAAATCAATGCTGGTATAAGTCTAAGACAACTGAAAAACCATGTCATCATCAAATTAAAGTTATAAGCATAATAGCAAATATGTTATCATCAAAGTTATTATAAACATATAGGGAGATATCCAGACTAAAAATTATTATTGCTATAAGACTCAACTTCATCTCAGTCAAGTCGGAGAGGATACAGAGAGTTGATATTTTCCACCAAATAATATCATCGCAAAAAGATAAAACAAGAGCTCTCGTGACATAGAGTATAATGCTTCAAAGAAATATATTAATATTTTAGTGACCCGTCGTTAATACACATAATATGCAGCACACTGAATATAATAAACTAATGATAAAATGAAACATAAATAAATGATACACAAAACAAACCAATGTATATGCATAAATGACAATGACATAATTCTTCACCTGTAAATGTCACTGTACGTGCCACTAATAGTTAATTTTGGAAGTACTCTTAAATTGTTGTTCCATCGTAGCGTGTTTGTGATGAACGTGGGAGTTTTCAGATTTGTGGCACTCTTGCCCAAAGAACAAAAGCAACATATACCTTTCTAACTTTGTGTTTGCATAAACTATCAATCGTTTTAGAAGCATTAGGTCTTGTAATACAGTAACATTGATGTGGGGAAAATATTGATATACAAATGAATTTCAAACACATAATAATAATAATAATAATAATAATAACTTTTATTTACCCAGGGTAGCCACTTCAGTTATGAAACTGTTCTTCCAGCAGGCCCTGCATAACATAATATGTTATTACTACCCTTCTCCAATCTAATATGCTGAGCGCCTAGCTAGAAGGCAGAAGGTCCCATTGTTATAAGTCTTTGGTATGACTCGGCCGGGGTTCGAACCCACGACCTCCCGTTCATGAGGCGGGCGCTCTAACGACTGAGCCACCATGCCCGGTGAATAATGAACTCCCACTCGTATGAATAATTGTTTGTACCATCTCTGGATCTACATAAAATATAACATATAAAGATTATATACAATAAAACTGCATACATGTATGTTGCTGCCTAATGGTAAAAAGAAAATATTCAACTTCTTGCACTCATAATCACAAACACGCAAATATTAAATTATCACACAATAAATTAATAAAACTACACACTTCCACATTATACACGATCAAGTAACTGAACATAAAGTAATGCATTGTAGTATATATAGACAGATAGATAAAACTGAGCTGATATATGTATATCATCATATTAAGCATAGACCTCTTTATAACAAATTCAACAACATATAAAAATTAACATAAACTTAAATACTTTTGATAAAATATTGTTTGTCAGTGTTTCACAGAATATTAAAGTAAGAGTGATGATTAATTCCAGAAAATTTGTTAGAATTTGCGTTTTAGAAAACCTTATAATATCTTTTTGATCATATTTTTGAAGAATACTTCTTATTCAGCTACTTAATCTGTATTTTGTGCATGGTACTTTATAGTAACATCAATCGTCTGTTTAATGATCATTGCTCTTACATTTATATGTGCAAACATAAAACAACTACATTAAAAAAATAGGTCGAAAATTCATTGAGGTTTTCTGTTGAAAAGAAGTTTTTAAAAAATTAGATATAGAGAAGAGATCTTTAAAAAGAATGTGAACTAGCATTCCCCCCGTCCATTTTCTCTGATATCAATTCCCCCATATTTTACCCACTTCATGTATGAATAACTAGAAATAACAAGAAAAGACTAAGGTTACTATTGCACCACAACATAACCTTTATACATATATGTATCCACAATCTTGTATTCAAATTTCTTCCCAACCATTCACTCGTATTTACAAATCCAATTTCCTTGCTAACGTGATTCCTCCATCTTAACTCCTTGTTACATGACTTTCTTCATTCCATGAAATACATTCTCATGAATGCACTGTATAAAAATGATGTCACCAGAAAATGACCAAAAAACTGCATGCTATAAATTTGTATATGACCAGCAAATACTACATAAATAACATATAAGATCAATCAATTATACAACATATTTTGTCAAACCTTTTAATAGAATTACAAAATGTCATTTCTTACAAAAATATACATCCCTTGTTTGTGCCACAATTCCAATCCCAGCTGCTTACTTTTTTTCAAAAATTGAAAGTTTCTGGTGAAGAATACATTTTTTGTTCAACTAAATCATTTTATTGTTCATTTTGCATCAGTGTATTAAACATACTGTCTTTCCTCTGAAAGGTTTATTTACATCATTGCATTATTAAGGTTATTTCCCAAGATATTGTTAAAGTCCAGAACATATTGGTAGCATCCCAAAATCATGAATATATCATTCTCTCTCCAAAAACTCTGACCAACGTTATAAACCCCTTCTGCTAATTCATTCACTATCCTCACTATGATGTTTGGAATATTATTGAATACTTCCTTTACTTTATTTCAAGTTGCATTCTAAATAGTCATTGTAGTTTCAAAGCAAACTCTTGTAGTTCAATTGTCATCTCATTCAAAAATAGAATTCTATCTTCTCATTAAGGCAATAAACTTCTCTGTGTGATCATGATCATAATCATCTATTTCTACAAATTATTATGAGATAGCATACAACCTTTATTTCATTGTTAGGTTGTTGCTGTTGAACTTGCCATCATATCGATTGCACCAGAGCATATATTCTATGGGATCATTATACTGATCATTCATACATTCCCTTCACAAAACAACTGCCAAAAAAAATGCTCCTTTATCATTTTCGAAAATAAAAGTATGATTCTTCTTTTCAAGATAGCATCCAATCACTTTTTACTCTGAGATTGATGCTTTGAATCTTGTTTGAATTCTTTCAAGATAGTATCCAATCTTTTTCTAATTTCTTGATTGATACCTGGAATCTTGATCTAATATTTTGGTTTAAAAATTGGCAGTTTACTTTGACATTATTTTTGTTTCTTTTCAAGATAGTATCCAATCTTTTTCTAATTTCTTGATTGATACCTGGAATCTTGATCTAATATTTTGGTTTAAAAATTGGCAGTTTACTTTGACATTATTTTTGTTTCTTTTCAAGATAGCATCCAATCATTTAATGATTTCTTGATTGATACTTTTAATCTTGTTTCAATTTACTTCTATTTTCAAGGTAGTATCCAATCATTTCTAAGTTTCCTGATTGATACTTTGAACCTTTATTTTCTTCCCAAGATAGTACCCAATCTATTTTTAAATTTCCTGATTGATACTTTGAATCTTGCTTTAATTTCTTCAATATCTTTTATCTTTTATCTTTTATCTTTTATGGATAGTATCCTATCATCTTTTTCATTTCTTGATTTATACTTGTTATAACTGATTATATTTATGCTTTGAGTCTTGCTACAATTTTAATTTCAGGATTGATACTTTGAATATTGCTTCAATTTACTTTTATTTTCAAGATAGCATCCAATCATCTTAGTTTCTTGATTGAAACCTAGAATCTTGATCTTATATTTTAGTTTGAAAATTGGCAGTTTACTTTGACACCATTGTTATTTCTTTTCAAGATAGTATCCAATCATTTAATGATTTCTTGATTGATACTTTTAATCTTGTTTCAATTTACATATATTTTCAAGGTAGTATCCAATCATTTCTAAATTTCCTGATTGATACTTTGAACCTTTATTTTCTTCCCAAGATAGTATCCAATCTATTTTTCAATTTCTTGATTGATACTTTGAATCTTGCTTTAATTTCCTTCTTTTTCTTCTTAGAGATAGTATCCTATCATCTTTTTAACTTCTTGATTTATAATTTTAATCTTGTTATAACTGATTATATTTATGCTTTGAATTTTGCTTTAATTTTCATCAAAGATTAAATGATTAGTAGTATCCATAAATTTTGAATTACTTCTTAAATATTTGAAAATTACAAAAAGATTGTATGATTCATATTGAATATTCAATTTGTTTTCATGATTCCCGTTAAAAATCTTTGTTCAAATGACCTATAGCACCTACATATATAATATTTCATATAATGCTTTAACATAGTTTTCACACATCAGTCATCATTTCAAAGAGAGATAGCACCCAACGATATCATGTATTAGAATGCTCCAATGTTCTGGACAAAATGCTTCACGAATACTTTTAAATAAATTTTAAAAGTATTGCATTTTACATAATTATGAATAATGCTTTGAAGTGGACACGTCTTCAGCTTTTATACAGTACCCATAACCATCCTGTACCCATTTTGTCTTCTTCAAGAAAACTCTATAGAAGACGTAGTCATTATTATTATTAAGAATGCAACAATGCTGCAGTAAAAAGTCACTAATTCACATCACTGTTTGCTGCTACTTCAGACGGTTGAATATTTGCTAGCAGGCTTGATACCTTTCTTCTGTAGTGGCGTCTGCCTTGGACTACTCTTGGCACTGCTTGAACCTGTGCTGCTGGCTTTTCCTTGAGCACCGTACACCTTCTTGGTTGGTGATGCCCTACGCTGAGCCGCTGGGCTCTCTGCGCCGTTGGCCGGCAAGCCGCAATTGCGGTGCGAGGAGTGCGCCGATAATGAGCGTTGCGCCGCAAGGATCACGGCAGCACGTTTTGGCGATACGCTCGGTGGGGTGGGAATGCGACTGGCGTGGCTAGAGTTGGGTCCCTTAGGAAGCTGGAGTGCACGGAACGATGGGGTGCGAGACGACGGGCTCAGCGAGCGGCTGCGGAAGAGCTGCGCGGGTGGAAGATCTTCGGTGGTGGGGGATGTGGTATGTGATCGGCATGTCGGGGCGCTTGGGCCGTTGGTGCTGCCACTGGATGAGCTGGAGGAGCCGCTGGTTGTGGTGAGGTTGAGCATAGAGCGCCCTCTCTTGCTGATAGAGGAGAAGGTCTCTTGATGATTGGTGGTAGGCTGAGCTGGTAGGCTTGATATGCTGGAGGATGATGTGCTTCGTGTAGGACCTTGTGAAAGGCTGACAGAATGAGGGCGAGGGTGATTGGCAGCACTGGATGACACATGACGCTGGGGGCTACAAAGGGGAAGAAAAGAATAAAAGATTGAAAACCTCTACAAATTCATAAGATGCAACTACAAGTATCTTACTGAATAATTTTGTTTGCTATACATAAATCCATCTATGTACTTGAATAAAGTTGAGTGTGACTCTTTTGATCTGTATAGTAGCAAAGATAACATAAATGCAGCATTTCATATTACTTGCTATAAAGATTGCTCATTTTGCCATTTCACAGTGTATTTCACAAAATAGAACAGTATAAATTGAAACATATACATCTTTTGACCAATAAAATTCTGTTCTTGAAAAATGTATTTAAAAACATGCTTTTTTTTAGCCATCGGTATACTGCTCTTTAGGCTACTGAAATTTCAAGTATTATATACACACCTTGTGGGTCCAGATGATTTCTTTTTCTGCAAAAGATAAATAAGAGAAAAGAAAAGTTTGGTTTATAATGCATGTTTTAATAGATGAAGAACATAATTTGATAGTATAATATCACGTTTTTAAATATTATTTCCTACCGTAATAAATCAACAATGTGTAATAAATCATTACAGAGAGTATTTCAATTTCCTACCAAGTCTAAACATTAATGGTAGTCGAATATTATAGATTTACATTACGTTGTAACATAATTTGTAGACAGTCATTGATTTGAATAGTCATGAGGGCAGATTCGTCACATTATCAAGAACCATTTTGCATTGCAATTCTTTTACAGTAATGCTGAAAATGCTTTAAAAATGCTGTACAATATTTTTACCGATGAGCTGGATTGCTTGCCAAAGTTCATATGAGCGTAAAGTAGCACTCCGATGTCTTTATGCCCCGCCTCCATAGCAATAGAGAAGGCAGTGCTTCCATCCTGAAATTATAATAAAAGAGAATTTCATTTTAACATACCAGGTATACATATACACTGTATATATATTTGCACTAAAGAAGCATGAGATGGGTATAAATGGGTATTATTATGAAGAAAATATTTGTACATTTTATCAAATAAATAATCTGAAGTTGATTTGTTCACTGATAAAACAAAGTTATGGCAGTTGGATGCAGAGATGAATTGAAAAGCCTATGGTTTCTAACTGAAAAACAATTTTTTATTTTTTTTATTACAAAAATGAATTTTCCTTCTACTTGCATTCAATTCAATCGTTGTTCTTCTTCAGATTTTTGAGTCTTTAAACTTTACAAATATACCTATAAAATGGCCTATAAACCTAGCTGTTCCATGCATATAAGATCGTATTGGACTTACGTTATCTTCTAGGTGTGGGTCACACTGTGGATGTGAGAGTAGCACCTTGACGATGTCAAGATGGCCGTGCTCACTGGCACACATCAAGGCAGTAGAACCATCCTGGATAATCAACATCAAAGAAAATAGAATTAAAAATATATACGTATATAAAAGAACATCTGTGTTTCAGTATACCGGTACTTGTAAAAGCCCCACACCACCAGTTTATGTGGAATCTTGTGTGTATAAATGCTCATACATAGCTAGCTGTTTAAGTCATCAGACCATCCTAGTGTCTCCACCTAACATCCAAACCTTTATATAGAACATACGTAATTTGCGCAATATTAGGTCTTTCAATAAATCATTTGCAATTTTATACTATACTCATTATTATTTTCTTTATGTCAGTAATGAACTAGGCTAAAAATTACAACAACAAAAATCATCTTCATTCATTTAACTAAATTCGTACTCATAACATCAGATGCATCCCTCTTTCTTCCATTAGGAGATTTAAATCTATCACTAATTATATGTTTACATGTGCCTTAGCAACTTGATCAACAAATCTTTTCAATTTATCAACCATCCATTCGTCCATCTTACTCACCTCATCTTGTGTATTGACATCACTGCCAGCAGTCAATAGTAGCTTGACCATGTCCAGTCTTCCCTTGCTGACCGCTAACATCAGAGCTGTTTGACCAGCCTAATCAAAGAAGGGAAAACATTGTAGGAGCTCATGAAATCCATTTGTAAGGATTAATTCCAGTTGTAAACATTCATGTGATTGGGAATGCATTCTTTAAAATTGTCTGGCTGAATGAGTTCATCGGTGTGAGATTGTAATTCTTCATTAAAACAAATGCATACATCAAACATATAGATGATTCAATATCCTATGTTTCCAACGCTTTTAAACATCTATATATTCCTAACTTCAATTATTCTACATTTTAGGATTTGATTCAAATGATAGACAACATAAAACTGTTATTTAATAGATTTGTGGCATAGACAAGATTCAAATGATATACAACATCAAAACTGTTTTATATTTGTGGCACAGACACAAATGGTATTTTAATACATCTCTATATTCCTCCCTTCAATTAATCTACATTTTGGGATTTGATTCAATGATATACAACATCAAAATGTGTGGCACAGAGAGTTAAAGGGATTGGGTAATTAAAGGTAAAGACCAGTTATGGTCATGCGATTGCATTGTGAAAGAAACATTGTGGAATCGATCAGAAAAGGTTGATCATCTAGCATCTAGCATCTGCAAGGTTCTGGAATCATCAAAATGATAAGAAATTTGGCCCATTCTTTGTAAAGTTACAAGCACTATACATAGAAAGATGTATATGGGACTACCCTATATCTCTCACAGACCATGAGAGAAACAAATTTACCAAATATATGAATTAGTAAGCAGTTTCCCGGCAAATTTTGTATCATCATGTATTAGTCAAAACATATTCTTTCACATGATTGGTAATGAGAGCTTCCATTTCATTTTTTGAAATTGGCCAATACTGGTCTTTACCTTTAAACTTTGTCTTAGATTCTGAAACAAAATCCTGGATTTAGCTCATGCTGCAATGATAGAAACCCCATGACTTTCACAAGCCAATCGCCTGTCTGATTATCAAGATATTTATGATTAGAAATCAAAATCAAATTTTGCATTTCCTAACGGTTTTCCTACCACTACAGTCTATTGGGGAAAATGAGTATGATAAAACTGGTCACTCAAAGATTTTTACTTTTTTGAGGCACTTCATGATCATTTGAAATGCAATTTTTTAGGGCTTCAATATTACACCATACCAAATGCACTGATAACACGTAGGGCCGTGTATCTCAGATTTAACATTGTTAAACGATGCCTTTAAAAGAGTAGAATGACCATGCAATAGTGACTGTACCTGGCTTGCACGTTGGTTAACGTCCCCCTCCCTGAAGAGTCTCGAGACCACACTGGAGTGCTTCTTGTTCTGGATGGGGACCAGGGAGGCCAGCATGATGGTGGTGTACCCCGCCCTGTTAGGCTTGTCCGTCTGACACACCCCGGTGTCCAGGAGGAGGAGCACGATGTCGAAGTTGCCGTGGGAGACGGAGTAGTGGAGAGCCGTGTTACCCTGTAATTGAAGAGGGAAGATGAAAGAGGAACGTTTTCATTGGCTGAAAATTTACCAAATTGTTATAAAGCTCTAAAACTGACATTAATCATGAAATACACATGTCATGTATGAGATACTAATAACATTGTTAAAAAAGGATAACATAAGTTTTTGGTAATGCACTTGTACTTACTAAAAACCCACAATGAAATACATACAAGTAGCATTGAAAGAGAAAGGGAAAAAAATAGAAAGCACTGGGGAAAAAAAGAACTGTGTGCACTTCAATACAACTTCAGACTTTAAAATCTCTCTCTCTCTCTCTAATTTACATATACATGTAGTTTCTCTTTGTCTGTCTGTCTCAGTGCCTGTCTATTGGTCTCCATATGCAGCCTTTTCCCTGTTTTTTCTTCTTCTGTCTGTCTGTCTTTCTATCTATCTATTTGTTTATCTCTCTGTCTCTCTACTCTAATTTCTCTCTCTATTTTTTTCTCTCTCTCACTTTATATCTCTATCTCTCCCTCTCTCTCTCACTTTATATCTCTATCTCTCCCTCTCTCTCTCACTTTATATCTCTATCTCTCCCTCTCTTTCTCTCCCTTTCCTTCTCCCCTCTCTCTCTCTCTCTCTTTCTTTCCCTCCCTCCCTCCCTCCCTACATCCCCTTCTCTCTCTTTCCCTCTCTCTCTCTCCCTATCTCTCCCTATCTCCACTTATGTTTTATTACTGCTGTTGACAGCAGATCCCAGTCTCGTGTACGTCATGCCCTTGAAGTTTGTTTTACTTGGTGTGACTCAGCCTGATATCAAATTTCCTGAAGCAAACTTGATCGTCCCTGAAAGCAGGGCTTGGTCCTAGTCCTGGTCATCAAGAGCAGGGCCAGTGATTATTCATTCATCATCACTTAACGTTAAATTGATGCCAATTTGTAAAATTTCTCCATGGCACGAATACATCAGAGTATTCCACAAAAACCTACCCTTCTGTTCACTTCATTCATGCATCACATTTGTATTTTGTTTTTGTTTTCTGGTAAAACCAGTTGTTCAGTGTGCTTTAGTTGTAGATCAATGCCTATATCACTATATCAACTTTGTTGTTTTACCTTTTCGGTCAACGCATGAAAACATAAGCTTAGAATATTTCCTAGCTCTTCATCAATGTTGTTTCTGCTTGAAAATACAATTTCCTTCCTGCTTTTCCTGCTCTCATTACCTTGCTACCTATCCCTCCTCTCTATGTTCTCTTTTATTTCCTCATAATGAGTGTACTTCATGTGATTCTATCATGAGTTACACTTTCACAAGGATAACTAACCTCTGCAACATGATTATAGCAGCTGCAGAACAATGCAAGAAATATCATTCAAATCAAGGCGCTGCATTTGTGACCTCAAACATGGCTTTTTAAGAACAATAAGACGTGATTACTGTCACATTGTGATAAGTACAATAATCTATACATTATCCTTCACTCATGGCAACTGCTGTGCTACCTGCCAAAGTGAACAGAGTTTGTACCCTTTCTGGCAATTATCATTAACATCCTGTATAATATGACTTCATTTCATGACTTTTGAAGGCATTGTTTAAGTATTGCTGTACCAATAGGTTATAGTGCCTGCATCTTAATTGTTCCCTACAAATTGCAAAGTAAGTAATGTGCCTTAATATTCTCTTCCCAAATACTGGAAAAATATGTACACATGTGGTTTCATGCAAATACATATGTATGGATTTGTGTGGTTAAGAATGTTTGAATATTTTATGTCAATACAGGTAGGTTACGTGTACATTTAATCCCAGAATATCCTACCTTGCTAATCAAATATTATTTCCTAGGAAAAGAGAAGAAGATTAAAAATGCTTCCAAACATGAACATATCAAAGACAATTGTGAACATGTGTGTTATTTTCATCACCAAATCACCTACATTTTAAAATCTCTCTTTGTTTTTCGTTCATCCTCTACATCAAAACTTGTGCTGCTCATAACTGACTCACAACTGTTCACATAAATCCATATTCTATATTTAACCTCCATTTTAGTTCTTTTTCTGCTTCTTTTAAGATTTGTTTTTAGAGGTGAATCCCAGCTCAACCTTCCTTGTCATTGAGTCATCCTTTCACCTTGGTTTTTTTAGATCAAGTATCAAGAATTGAGTGACGTAAAGAGGAGCTGGGAATTCAAGAAACTTGCGTGACTTCACCTGTACTTTTCCAGGTCATCCTCAAACTAGTGTTTTTCCCCTAAAAAACAAACATCATCATGTGGTTCTGTTTCACCATCCTCGATACCTCCAGGATAAAACTGCCCCAAATTCACAACATTTAAGGGTATTTTTATCAACATAACTTGATGACTAGTCCCAATCTCACAACTTTTTTCCAACCAAATCATGTGGTCATGTTTCACCATATCTGTAACTCAAGTATGAATTCATCCAAAATCATCACTTCTAAGCATAAGATTAAACTAAGAGTTGATACCGCAGTTCCTGATGTCACAAACATTCCAACTTAATTAAGTACAAAGTTCTGTTTCAACACCTTTATTAAACAGTTAAACATGAGTCAGAGGTCATTTGTACTGGGTAACTGTTCCTTTCCTGGTGTAGCATACATGGTGTATACCCTCATACGATAAACCTGTTTATTATTCAACCCAGGCATACAGGTTCATTCACTTCTACAACAACTAGTCTGCACATTACAATGACCATCTGAATGAACTTTCCATTTCCTCCATACAAGCCAAGCAAGCACATTTCTGAGTCAATATCATCCTACACATAATACAGGGGCCTCCACTGTGACTAAGACCCAAGCAGGGTTTCCTCAGGCCACAGTTTGAATAAAAGAATATTAAAAAAACGAAATGAAGCATGACCATAGAGTGATGCAACTGGGCAATGACTTGGAGTTATTTTTAAGGGTTTTGTTTGGTTCGGTAGTCAAGGAGTGCTGAGTGAGTAATGGCCAATGGAGATTACGACCAAGGTTCATGCAGCGTTGAAGCATGCTAGTGCAGTCTGATCTTCCACAGAAAAAATTGCTCTGATATAAAAACTGCACTCAGACCCAATAGGAATGGCCTAAAACCCACCAAAAGGAAAGAAATATAGACTAAACTAAAAGAGAACATTGTAATATATATGTGCTCATGGAGTCAGAAAGATATAGGAGTAGCTGCTAAAGAATACAACATATTCAGACAAGAAAGTCATAACAGTTGAGGACCAAAAAGAAACAAAATTAATAGAGATTAAATGAATCCTACAATTTTGATGTCTGAGACAGAATTGAAGAAAAAAATACAGTTGCAAAGGACAATGTCTGATAATCCAACATATGCTCTGATGGCATATGCTCTGGTGGCAATTGCTCTGGACTTTATTTTTTGTCAAAGGTGTAAGGTAAAGAAAGTGTAAGGTAAAGAAGGTGTAAGGTAAAGAAAGTGTAAGGTAAAGAAGGTGTAAGGTAAAGAAAGTGTAAGGTAAAGAAGGTGTATGGTAAAGAAGGTGTAAGGTAAAGAAAGTGTAAGGTAAAGAAGGTGTAAGGTAAAGAAAGTGTAAGGTAAAGAAGGTGTATGGTAAAGAAGGTGTAAGGTAAAGAAAGTGTAAGGTAAAGAAGGTGTAAGGTAAAGAAAGTGTAAGGTAAAGAAAGTGTAAGGTAAAGAAGGTGTAAGGTAAAGAAGGTGTATGGTAAAGAAGGTGTATGGTAAAGAAGGTGTATGGTAAAGAAAGTGTAAGGTAAAGAAAGTGTAAGGTAAAGAAGGTGTAAGGTAAAGAAGGTGTAAGGTAAAGAAGGTGTATGGTAAAGAAGGTGTAAGGTAAAGAAAGTGTAAGGTAAAGAAGGTGTATGGTAAAGAAGGTGTAAGGTAAAGAAGGTGTAAGGTAAAGAAGGTTAAGTTTTGATTGGGTTTCAGGGTTGGGGTTAGGGTTAACATAGCTGGATCTAGAGTTAAAGTTAAGAATTCTATTATTGCTAGAAATTGACCATGAAGCAGTTGTTACCAGAGCATGTGTCATATACATGTATACCACCCCTACATTACATAGCCCACTTTAGACTTACATTGCTATCAGCAATGTTGACAATCCTCTCCAGTACAGCCTTCCCAGCATCCTTTGCGACGACCTCTAGGAACCCTGTGACCTGCCGAGGGTCAGAAGACTTCTGGCTTGTGATGCGGAACCAGTTCTTGGCAACCGTTGCCATGCAGGTGGTCTATGTAAGAAACAAACCAAATACAACTGAAGTTATAAATGAGCTCCTAATTTATACACTCCCATAATTATTTTCTCAACTTCAAAATGCATCCAAAAGATAAATGACATAGCATAAGAAAGGTACATGCATATACCATGACAAATCTTAAATCCTTGTTAGAGGATAAGAAAGTCTCAAGACTTCAAGATCCTCTTGAACGATACTAGTTTCAATACAGCTTAGTATTAAAAACACCACTTAATCCTTATTCACATTAAGAAATATATTTCAGAAATTGCTAAGGGTAAATGTCCTTAATCATGAAAGCAATATCTGCAATGTTCTATTTTTTTCCCTTTAGGAATTGTGCTGGATTTAAAGTCTTTGGTCCATGAGAGCTCTACTTGCTTTCTTAAGTGCAATTTAAAATTGATGGTAAAACTAAATCTGGCCATGTTTTGGAATACCGGCCAGGACAAAAATAGAGTTGGAGACTCACCAGATCCTTGTTGTTTCCTTCTCCTGGCTGCACAAACAGCTTCCCCAACGTGATGCAAGCCTGCCTCGTCTCGTCTCCAACCTCAACATTCATCATCTCAGAGTTCTCCACCCCATTCTTCTTCACTCCTCCATCCTTCTCTCCTTCCTCCGTCTCCTTCTTTCCGTTCCTCTTCCCGCCGCCGCTGTTCCTGCTGCTGCTCCTGGATGAACCCTTGGGAGGGGATCCAGACAGGGAGCCAAGGTCTTCGCTGGAGGTGGAGGTGGAGCTGGTGGAGTTCGAGCTATCGGATTCCGTCTCTGAGGAGTCGCTGCCGGAGCTACTAGAGCTCATCGCTGAGCTGCTTGCAACCCTAGCAAAACAGATTCAATTCAAATTATAGTCAAACCTGTATATAGCAGCCGCCCAAGGGAAACACAAATGTGGTCTTCGTAGCCAGGTTCCTTTAGTACATGTTTCAATGAGAAACCATTTTCAAGGGAAACAAAAAAAAATGTGCTTGTTGTAGACAGGTGGTCTTTGTAGACAGGTGGTCACTAAAGCAGGTTTGACTGTATAATAACTGAATAACAATGTGTATTGATAAGTATTTCAGCATTCAAACAATAAATGTACTGAAATCTTAATTTCTAAATGATTATTGGATAAAAAGTGTAGACATAACAAAATCCTGACCATCCTGTTACACTGTCAAGCTTTTGTACAGATGTATGTAAACTGGTCTCCACATGTCTCTTTTAAAAACAGGAAATACTTAGTCATGATTTTAATCGTACCAGTATCAGAAGATAGGTACCGTACTGCTTTATAAACAGGTCAATAACATTTTCATTGCACTATCCAAACTTTCTTGCTGCAATATAAACTTTACTGCTATCATTTGTATATATATATAACCTCGTCTTTTATTCATGTGTATCAAATGTAGCAAAAAATCATAATCACTGTAGGCCTATGTATACATCTTCTCTAACAATTTTTTTTTCTTCTTTGAATGAAGAACCCTTTATTTTCTCTTCACTTACTTCAACTCTGGAACCTCTGTCTCACTGAGATGTCCCTCCGTACCAGAGTCTTGACTCCCCCTCTTCATAATGGTAGCTGCCAGAGTGGTCTTTGGTGCATGGGCCCCTGGACTCTCATCTAAAATTGAGAAGAAATAAAATGAATTGTGATATCAAAGGTAAAAGATGTACACTGACTGAACAATTTTGCATCAAATAATGACAAAGAACTTGAAAACAACAGGAATTCCAAGGTATTGGTACCATACAATTGTTTCTTGGGGGGGGGGGGGAGTTGGCACATTGATCATTGGAATATAACTTTCATTAAATTGTTAGTAATATCAACGTATTTGTTATGTCATTGAAAAAGCAGTTTTTTTTATTATTATGAAATTCAATGGGTATAACTCTATCACAAACATATGTTTTTAATGGTTCAATCAGGGTACAGTATATTTATACCTCATAAATGAACTCATAAATATATCTTATAAGGACATTTTCATTCTCTTTTCCGTTCTCTAATGTAAAGTATGACACAACAATAATGATAAAAATGCAGATTTGTTGTTGCTACAAACACGCGAGGCTACCATGGAAGTGCTAGCTTATCTCATTAACATGCTTTGCTCATGAGTTCCATAACTCATAGACAACTCTACCTAAACCACAATCACCACCACAACAAAGTTATTAAAGGTAAAGACCAGTAATGGTCATGCGATTGCATTGTGAAAGAAACGTTGTGGAATCGATCAGAAGAGGTTGATCATCTAGCATCTAGCATCTGCAAGGTTCTGGAATCATCAAAATGATAAGAAATTTTGCCCATTCTTCGTAAAGTTACAAGCACTATACACAGAAAGATGTATATGGGACTACCCTATCTCTCTCACCAGACCATGAGAGAAATAAATTTACCAAATATATGAATTAGTAGGCGGTTTCCCGGCAAATTTTTTATCATCATGTATTAGTCAAAACATATTCTTTCACATGATTGGTAATGAGAGCTTCCATTTCATTTTTTGAAATTGGGGCGTTGCCAATACTGGTCTTTACCTTTAAAAAGAAAATATTCAAAGACTTCGAGAGTATGTCTAGGGCAGTTGCAGATAGAGGGGGCGGGGGCGCACCCAAGGAAAAAGAATTAAGGGGAAACAAAGGAAGAAAAGTAAAATGGGTTGTAGATTGTTTTGTTTTTGTTTTCTGTCTGTCAAAGAATTGAGAAGTTATGTAACACACCCCTCCCTCCCCCCCCCCCCCAAGCCAGGGAATCCCGGATCCTCCTCAGTAGATAATAAATGAGTGAACTAGGGGTCACATTTTTTTTATGCAACCAAGTTCAGGTGCTTCATAGCGTGAATAATTATTTCCTAAACATGTTTCCTGAGTCATTGAGCACATGTGCAAATTTTTTCTTCTTTTCGTTGGAAAGTCGTGATCACGTTTCTGTTCCTAGTAATCCGACCCTAATCTACACCAGAGGAGTCACCCCCTTTTTTTGGAGGGGGTCGTGGATTAGAGTGTGAGGGGGAGATTAGGGAGTGGATTAGAGCCCAATGAAGGAATGGGAGACACAAAAGATTTTTGGGCCATATGTCTATCATTTTCAAGGGGACCAGGCAGGGCAAATATCCTTCAACACCATTATGTGGCTGATTTTCAATGAATATAAGGGTCGTAAAACACTTCCACAGACCATATAGCCATTTCTAAAGATTTCATATGGTAGTACATGACATACAGTACATGTACTGGTACATGTATATGGTTTGTCCTTGTACAAGATGTATCCATCATTCCATTTTACACTTGAAATTTCACTATTAAAATAGAGACACTTTTATCATAGAATATATATATATATATATATATATGATCTAACTTTTTTGCCAAAGAATATGGTTTATAATCTCAAGATATATGTTCTCCAAAATATTAGATTCTTATTTTATAAATCCAGAACGAAATTTATATGTATAAACAACTGAACGGATGCAAAGTTACATTGTATCCTATAATATTAATTCAAAATATATGTACATGTATGTATTAATAGGCAATGATAAGATTAAGATTATAACTTCATCAAAACTTTCCCTAGAAGAGGATATTCTTAGAAATTTGATACACAATACCGTATGTCACATTATGTGTTAAATTAAGTTATCATGACTAAAAAATACTTGTGGGTGTGTATTGACAAGACATGGGAGGGAAAGGCCGTGATTTAATCTTGAGCTCATGGGTGTATAAATGCATAGCAAACATAAGAAGGAAATAAATATTGTATAAAAAACTTTTAAAAGTTGCTATGAACATGAATAGAACCCCCTTAAACATTTGCATGGAACCTGAGATTGAGAGAGTTAATGAAATTCTAATGACTAACAGACAGGATCATATATGTGCGCAATATCAGCAAAATATAATCGCTCTTTTTCACATGACATCATCGGATCTGTAAGCCCGCCTAAAGCTCTGGTTTCAACAAAATTGCACTTTTGGCACCAACGGTTCCGAAAGGAAAAGGGGTCTAGACCAGAATCCCGATTTGAACTTGATCTCTTTGTAGGATTACATGTACACAAGCAAGATTTTGTTAACTAATTAAAACAGGTCCTTGTAAAATGTATTAGTGTAGACTATCCCACTCACCAGGTTGGTATTAAGTATCACATACCTTTTAAAAAAATACGAAATTACACTTAATCCCGCAAAGAAATTGATGTTCGGCTATAACTGCGGGCTAAAAGTTTTCATGTTGTATAAAGTATGAACTAAAAAAATTCTTATGCTTGAAATTTGGACTAAAAATAACTTTGTTTTTCTTCCTCAAACAGAAATAGGTTCATATGTTGTCAAGGCTGTTGCCATAGAAGGCAGTCAAAACCAAAAGTAAAAAAGTTTGACTCTTGATCCTAGACCTAGGCATAGAATGAATTATTAAATTTACAATTTGGTGGCCTACTTGCAATTTATATTCACAGTTACTTCAAGAAGTGTCCCCAATTTCACTAATAATCTGACTTCTAAACTTTCTTTTCCTCAAGAAATAGTTCACCACCATGTTTTTACGAGTATTCGGGTCGAGCTGCGCAGTTCGGCGAGCCTGGGCTTACGGATAAATCTAAAATAGCATCTCTCAGCGCCCGGGTTGGGCCTAATCTCACAAACTTGTAGGTGTCAGGTCGACAGGCGGGATTATCTCTGCCAAATTTGCACTTTCAAAAAACGGCTCCTGACTCTGATTCACGATTGAATATTTACTATCGGAGAAAGCGTTGCCATGGGAATGATTATGTCATGTTTCTTGAAGATAAGGGCTGTTGGTGCTAGAAATGATCAACTTTAATTGTGAGTGACAGGGGGCTTTCTCCTTCACCAGTATACATGTATGTTTTAACAGTAATTTTAAGGAGAGTGTATATATTCCATATAAGTGGATAGCAACATACATACCGGTATATTTCGGCACCATGTGTATACTAATAAATAATGTACCATATGGCTGGAAACCAAATTAAAATTACTTTACCCAGCATGACCATTTCTAACAAGAGCACAAACAGTTTTCATGATATTATGCATGATAAAATACCACATCAGATCAAATGGTATCTCACATATTAATAGTATATGTCCCATGACTCAGTTCAATGTGACAAGCCTATACTCAAGATTATGTGGTTTATATATGTCTCATGATAGTTATAACCATATGGATCCTATTTAAACGATTAGCTTGGCGCGTGTGTCATACTTGTGCATTCAGATCTTACCATGCTTTGCTACATGTATATCTCACAATAACTTTGAATTTGTTTCCTATTAAGCCGGTGGAAACAAAAATTGAAGAGCCCCCCCAGCAAATAATCCTGCAAAATATTTTCTTTGTGTTTCTTTTCTATATTTTTCGGGTAAAGTGAATGATATTAGGGAACAAATAACAGCAGTACTTTTCTGTGTGTATAATAGTTGGACTTATATAATAATTATACCCCCGCAAACAGTCCTGCAAATTTTTTTGTTGTGTGTTTCCTTTCTCTATTTTCCTGGTAAAGTGAATGATATTATGTAACAAATAATAGCAGTACTTTTTCTGTGTGTTTATATGATCCAAATCTGTAAGTAATACATGTACTAGTATGTGTCACAATGTCAATATAATACTGTAGCATCTGTCTGCTGGGAACCAAACTGGTATCAACACATATCCTTTAAAGCCCCACTGCACTACTTATAGCTACTTGCGCCCTCTATATAGCAAACAATGCCTAATTGGTGACCATTGATCCCCCATGATCCTCTTTTTCTTATGTTAATTGAGAGCGGATTTGATGAGATAACCACCTGCCAGTGACCTTGCAGGGAGGTCTAATCTCCCCTGGCCAAACTAGTACAGACGGTCTTTAACACACAGTTAAAGTACCCTTTGACTCGCACTCGCAACAAACAATAAACAAACTTCGATTAAGGTCAATGAATATGATTTTTTAATCATTTTTCTTACCTGCAAGCATAGCATGAGGGTTGCTGAATCCATTACCCAGCATTGCCTGCTCGTCCATAGGAACATGGATCTCATAGTTCAGCGATCCCGTTGATATGGTGCCCTCGGGTGGTTGGGAGGAGCCATTCTCACGCTGGGGTGCCATGTTTCTTGTAAGATGTTCAGATTCTATATTAAATAAAGGATGAAAGAAATAGAACAACTGTCAACATTAGCATCCGACAATACTAATTCATGAAGGAGGAAAAAATCTGCTAAGTAAAAGATCACAAAAAGTTGAATTGTGAGTTCTTCACAATTAGAAAAAGGAATATAACTTTTTCAGTGTACTTTCCCTTACATAAAGATCCAGTAGAAAATCTAAATATGTTGTACAAAAGATTGATGCTGGCATAAATACATTGAGTGCATTGCTTAACCTATGTTCAAAAGCATACTTCAGAAGCTTCCACAGTAGTACCTCTTTCCTTTGTGAACTCAAGCACATAATGAATAATGTTTTTAAACGAACCCTGATGGTAATTAAACAGATTAAATAACAACCCACAAGCACACTTATGCGTGGTATGTCTAATAACAAAACTAAATGTGCAATTGTGAACAATGGGACTTTTGAACGAAAACACACTAATCTTCTTACCAACGGAAACTACAGGCATAACAAAATGAACAATACGCTGATAGAGCTCCGTAAGCACACTGGTAATCAGAGCAAACACCATCCAAAATCAAAACAGCACGCAGAGAAGCAAAAAAATGTCCAACTGCCTTTTCCGCTCTTCCCGTGTCCGATTCCAAATGCCTCACTTTACAACAAAGAACTAAACACCTCTCTATCTCTCTCCCGATCATTCAACTTCAGCGAGCAAGCTCCGGCGCTAAATGGACCCATCCCAACTTATGACGACGGTGGTGAAGGATATAGGCAAGTATTCCTAATTAACACTCCAGTGATTAATACTCAGAAGGTATATAGCTGCTAGCGGCACTGGCTAGTAGCTGCCTCCTGCGTGGTCTAAATTTGCCACTTCCTCTATTGCCCTTTTGACAGGCTGTACATAGGGATTGACGAAACAAAGGCAGCATTAAGCTGCATTCTTAACGATAGTGGCTTCTATTTTAAGAAGGCATTGTAAATAAAAGAAAATACTTGCCAAGTTTTTAATTATGTTCTTTACTCATAATCTTATGATGGGACCCACCTTTCTTTTGTGCTTTAAAACTATAAAAAAATCAAGAAATTAAGCAAGCTTATTTTATAAATAACTGTTTCTTTTGTCTATTCTGTTGAAATAAATTTTTAGGACAATTCCAACAATGTATGTCTTGCTTCCAAATAAAATAATACCGTAATAACAGTTTAATATATATAGCACCTTGCAAATTAGAATTGTAACCAACCAAAGCGCTAACATTGTTACAGAGACATACATTTAATTACACTAAATGATAACAACAGCTACATTTACATTACGCATCTATCCACCCCAGAGGATGGGTACGTGTGCAATATAAATTGCAGTTTTAGACAAGCTGCCTTAAGGCACTCAAAACATGCAAAGGTATATATTCCTACCAGGTACCCATTTACTACACCTAGCTAGAGAGTAACAAATAAATAGACAAATAAAGAGACATTGTAATTATAAAAGTATCAAGATGACTCTATATGTGCACTTTGATGTTGTGTGCAATAGCTCTTCACAACTTTTTATACAGTATGAAATGTTACTCCTACATTGTAAGTTTCTGTTGTTAATCACATGTATATCTCTAACATTTGCACTCACCTTGCATCGATGTAAGTTTAGAGAACATCGGTGTAAATGCCTCATGGAGCTGCTGAAAGTGATCTGGTCGGATCTCCTCTCCCATCATCTCCGCTAATGTTGTCGTTGGAGGAGCACTATCAACATCCTCAACACTCGATTCACCCGCCGGCACATCATCAATGTCTCCCAAGAGTTCTGCGGTCGTTTCCGATGAGGATTCCGTCAAGAACACAGAGTCGTTCTCATCGCTGTAGAGACTTGCGAATGTGGTTAGTCCAAACTTGGTGGGGCTGGAGCACAGAGGAGCCACAATAGCGGAATCTGACGAGACCTCGCCGACCTGGATGGAGCGCGAGTGCGTGTATCGGTTGACGTCGGAGCTACCGATTCCGACGGAGACAGTGTTTAGGTTGTCGCACTTGTCACAGATTCTATCCATGATTGTACACAGTCCAACACCGATGTTCAGCTGCTCCGCTACAGGCCCGTCACCAATGGCAGCATCACGAGTCGGTATCCTTATCCCCATACCAATTGTCCTTTGTTGCTTTTTGTCACAAACATTACACATTGCATCATTCACATCGCGGTCTCCTACTGCGGTTGTCACAGAACCGAGCAACGATTTTGGATCGCAAACCATGTCGGATCCGACACCGATTGTTCTTGATAGCACGTTGTGGTTCGTGCCTATTGTGCGTGTTCTCATGAGACAGTCGGATGTTCTTCCTCCTCCTATTCCAATTGTTCTTGTCTGGATGTTATCACACTTAATGCAGTAGCTATCGGCTACCGAACATAACCCGATGCCTATTGTTCGCGACCTTGACTCCAACATTTGGCTTGTATTAGTACCGATGGTGTGTGTATCTGCTTTCCGGCAGCAGATAATATCATTCAAGTCAATATCATCCCCAACACAGATATCTACGTATTCTGCTTGTTTGTCTGTATTGCATGAGCTTGTCACAAGCTTGGCGTTTTCAGTGTTTGTATCTTTCTCCTCAGCCTCAATCATCTCAGTACTGGTAGAAGAATCTTGGCATGAGCTCGTTTCGGGGAGTGCTTCCACGCCTTCCTCAGCAGTACTGGTCCCAGAGTCTACACCCACAACTGATTTAAAATACCGGACATTGTCAAAAGACAGTCCTGGACATGTCCCCCTCTCCACGGTCAAGACACTGACCGTATTGACCCCGCTTTCCTCACATTTGACGGATGTACCGGCTCCAAACTCCACCATCTCGATCACTTCAGTTTCAGTAGATTGCATATTGCTTGGTTGTATTCTTGCAGTCACTGATGCATCCCTCATTGATGTTGCGCTTCCATGCAAGTCAGTACCGATGCTTGCATCAGTACGCTTCGGTGAAACGGGTGGTTTGGTGTTAGTTCCCATAATCCTAGTTTGGATATTGTCTGTTATGGTGCCACGTTCGCAAACATTCTTGATGGTTTGCTGCTGTAAAGGAGCCGCGGCATAGGTTTGGATATTGAGAGTGGTGGGAGAAATGAGCCTTTCATTGCAGTCCTGCTGCAGTGCATTAGCTCTGGTCGGTGATTGAGGTGACGAGTTTGTGAAGCTATTCGTTGTTGGGTGTTCACTGGGTGAGTCAGGGTGAGAGCTAGGTGAATAGGAGACGTTATTAGCCCTGATTGCCGTTATCGGACCCTCCCTGATTACCTCCTTCCCCTCTGCTACCATATCAGCTGACGAACAACTTCCCCCGCCCCCTGAGCTATCCACGCTCCGTTTGTTATCCCAGGATGCCATGCTACGTACGGTGCGTAGATGGACGCTCGATAGCTTCACCGGCTGCATCTTGCTTTTCCTCTCGATGACCTTAGCAGTGTTTGGTTTCTCGGCTTCTGAAATTAAATCCACGTTAATCCCAATGGATTTTGTCTCGGGAGATTTCAATGCGGTGCTGATCATGTTAGCGTCCACACCCACTGATCTAGTTTCTGCTTTGGGCCTCGGGACAGGTGTCACGTAGGCTTTCTTTGGTGGAACAGGGGGTAGGTGGGGTTTCCCTTTCGGGATTGATGGCTTGGGGGAAGTAGGAGGACCTTGCGTTCTGTGCTGTGGTGATTTCAAAGGGGACATGGGTCTATATTGCGGGGAAGATGGGGTGGGGCTGGTAGGACCAGGACTACTGGTGCGTCTCATCACCCCAGGTGATGCCGGTCCAGGGCTACTTGGCCTTCCACTGTGGAACCCAAATCTGGGAGAGGGTGCCCGACCTGGGCTACCTGGACTGAAGGGGCGGGTAGGTTTAGGTGACCTGACACTCGTATGAACCATGTCAGTATTGGGAAGCTCATAATACGGAGTTGACACATCTCCATTTACTGTTATCACACCATCAACCTCAACGATACCATCACAGACACCAACATGCCTTAGGTGCCTGTCCTTGCTCTTTGATTTCAGCTGCAACACAAGTAACCTTTTTTCTTCCTTCAAGACAGAGATCTTGACCTGGAGGACTGGGATAGCCTTGACCTGCTCTTCCAGCTGTTTGAGACGTAACAGGGCTGTAGCCATCTGCTGTCTAACAGCTGACAATGCATTTGTGCTGACAGATGACGGTGTGGATCGTCCCGATGCTGTGGACAGTTCACCTATGCTGGAAGCACTACTCAAGGGCCTCTTCATGTAGTCTATATCTGTGTACGAACCTCCGTTTGGGATTGGGGAGAACGCACTTGAGCTTCCCATAGAGGAGAGAGAACTGGTTGAGTCACTCTGATGGGACATGGACACCAGGTTGGAGATAGAAAGAGGACCATTGATGTTGCTATTGTAGATGTCCATCTTGTTATTCAGTGCATACTGGAGGACTTGATAGCTTGGAAGACTACTCCTACGCTCCATCTCAGGAGGGTAACCCTGAGGGAGCGATACCACACTGTCCGTCTCAAGATCACTCAGGTTGTGGTCATAGGAGTCCGGTGGCAGACTCTGGGTATCCAGAAAGCTGGCTTCGACTGCTGGTACGTTCAGATCCTCTAGATTGGACTCTTTCCGCAGGAGCTTGGCAAACTGCTGGTAGATCTTCCAAAATGCTGCATTCTCTTTTTCAAGGATTTTATCTGGCTCTAACTTGTCCTTGGACTTCTTGTTCCTCTTGGGGGGCAGGGAGCTACTCCGTGGGGGAATGAGCGGTGGAGGGGGGCGAATGCTTTTCACTTTGTTGTGTGATCGGGATCGCTTCGTCTTCTTGATCTTCTTCAAATTGGCACCAGAAGAGATGTCATCGCAGAAGTTGAGAAAGTCCAGATCAATGTGGTAGCCGTACGGACAGCATTCACACCGCTGAACTCGAGACAGATCAACCTCCGAGGTAGAGTTCACCTCAGCACTGTTGCTATTGCTGGAGTTGGTGTTGGCATAGCCATAACGGACTGGTATACGAGAGCGATGACCTGCAGGCAAATAGAAATATGAAAACAAAAAATACAATTAGTTGAGCAGTACACTCACAGAAGCTTAACAAATAAGATACATGCAGTGAGTAATGAAATGACAATCTGTTTAATTCTACATTGAAACAAAAAAAGAACCTTTGACTTGGGCACACAAGGTCCACTATGGACTTGCTGAATAGAGTACCTGTAGATTAAATCACATCTGAAAATGTATACAAACAGCATGCATCCTATACAACTGCAGTGAAATTAATTTTCATGAACTGATTTAGAATAAAAACCAATAAATCCCTTTTAGTCAGCATGTTACACAAATAATCTCAAATGAGGCCTTTTTAACAAAATCTTCACAAAATATTAATAATATATAACAAGCTTTAAAAAAAAAAAAAAAAAAAAATCATGCAGTCTTGTTATTCCAATCACACTTTTCCAGTGGTCATTCAAACCAATGATTTACCAAATAATCACTCTTTTTTTTTTAAACTTTGAAACATGATTTTTATTATATGTATTTCATGTGAAATATATATGCATACTTGCAGTCTATTGAGACATGGTAAATTCATTTAAAATATCAATCTAGCAAACTCACCACAAATATAGTATTCCTTTATGACATGTATCAACAAACACTAAACCACGCTGACAAACTACATTAACACAAATCCAGTCAGCGTTCCTCAACGGCAAAGTAATGAACTGATCAATAGCACCCACGGGAGAGATCGCTTGCACAAACCTTAACGCCCCAAATTAACCAATCCTTACGAGAGCAGGAAAGCTCGCCAGACCCTTTCAGTCAGCGACCACAAGATAAAATGTCCACTCCATTCGAACCAAAGGAGTTCAAGAAAAACTCCCTAACGCTTAACTTCCTCAGTAGAAATCTCCAATTGCTTAATCGGCGATCAGCCAAAGTTTTTGCATAATATCTGTGATGCATTTACGAGTGAGGAGGACTCACTGATCCACATACAGATGGGGATGATCGCAGCCAAGCCAAGAGCGCTCTGGTAATGCCAGGAGCAAAAGAACTAATTTGGTTTGAATATGAATCTACGGCTACGTTTCCTGTGAACGCAATTTAGATAGCGCTACAATTTGTGTTTGAATGAATTAGATTAGCGAGTTCACGGCTAAGCTAATTTTATCCCGTCGGTGACCAAATGGATTTGATTATCTCATTTTTCTTGCTATCTCTATATTTGTGGGGTAGAAGTGTACAGGAGAGATCTATGCATGAGTAACATGGGTGGGCTTACGTCATATCGGACAAGCACAAAGGATCAATATAATTTGTCAAGCATGTGACCTAATTTTGGCATGAACATAATTGTGACAAGGTCCAGGGTAGGATGAATTAATGATGGGCGTAACTTCTGTTTTTGTTTTCGTAAAAGGTCAGCGGCCAACCCCCTCATTTATTAATGAATCATAATCTTAAGCCCTAGTCCATGATAGAGATTAAAGTCTGTTTGGTTGCTAATAGCAAGTATTCAGACATTACTAATGATATACAGATGAATGATATCCGAATCACATCATGTATTTTTTGCTAACCTGTAGAGTTTACATGCATCCCATTAAATCATTTTACTGGCTACCTTTCAGAAGGGTTAAAATTGTTGAACTTTTTCTTGCAGGTAATACGGTAAGTGCAAACAATGTTAAAGCAAACCTGTGCTAATGAGTTGCCTCAAAAATGCTTGATGCCTCTTTAAAATTGTCCTTAAACCCAGAAGTTGTAGAGTTCTAGTTTCCTCCCCCTTTCCAACACCTTGCCTTCGTCTCCCTCTCTGACTACTTGTATCGGCTCCCTCCCTCCTTTCCTGCTCTCTTAATTTCTCTCCCTCCCTCTCCTTCACCCCTCGTCCCATCACTCTTCTTCCCCTTCCCTCTCCTCTCCTCATCCCCCTACTTCCCCTAATCCTGCTCCCTCCTCCCCTCCCTTCACCTCTATTCACCTCAAACTCTCCCTACTTCCACCACTCTCCATTACCACTATATCAATTTCCTTCATAATTTCCCCACCCTCCCTCTCCTCTCCCTGGCCCCGCCCTCTCATCTATCAACCCCTCAATCGAAATACCAAAATCCTCATCCTTACCTGGACCCTGTGCATAGTAGTTCTCAATGGTGTACCCCTCCCTGTGTCCACCATCAGCCACTCCCCGCATCATTGCTTGCGCCATGGTAACCGTCTCCGGGTGGAGCTGGATATAGCTGGAGTGATACACGGTTTGTCTCTTTAGACACTGGTGACTTGCCAGCTAATGTCTGCTCTCTGCATACTCATCTATTGATCAAAGAGAAAAGAAAAGAAACTAGATGGAATTCGACTGCGCGCAGTCGAAAATGATGCCTCCGTCATAGAGCAATTTTACAAACCAAAACAGAAGACATTTTTCGAATTCAAGTTCAATTGTAATCCATTAACAGGTTCTCAGAATATCGTGATTACAAGCAATTTCTCATATACATATATGACCCTTTGATCTTTGACCTCATGACCCTAAAATCTACTCAGTTCATTGGCTCTGCAAGATGTCCTGAGTTAAATAGTAATCCATCTGTCAGTTCTAATGAGAATGTGTTCACAAGCTATTTTTGCATACATAATGAGCCCATGACCTTTGACCTTTGATCTTATGAACCAAAAATCTACTCAGTTCATTGGCTCTGCAAGTAACATACATGACCTAATTTTGGCAGGAATCCATCAATCGGTTCTTGAGAACGCGATCACGAGCTGTTTTTGCATACATAATGTGCGTTGTGGCCTTTGACCTTTGACCTCATGACCCCAAAATCTAATCAGTTCATCTGCTCTGCAAGTAACATACATGACCTAAGTTTAGCAGCAATCCATCAATCGGTTCTTGAGATAACGCAATCACGAGCTGTTTTTGCATACATAATGTGCGCTGTAGCCTTTGACCTTTGACCTCGTGACCCCAAAATCTAATCAATTCATCGGTTCTGCAAGTAACATACATGACCTAAGTTTGGCAGCAATCCATTACTCGGTTCTTGAGATAACGCGATCACGAGCTGTTTTTGCATACATAATGAGCCCTGTGACCTTTGACCTTTAACCTCATGACCCCAAAATCTAATCAGTTCTTTGACTCTGCAAGATACATACATGACCAAAGTTTGGCAGGAATCCATCAATCGGTTCTTCAGATAACGCGATCACGAGCTGTTTTTGCATACATAATGAGCCCTGTGACCTTTGACCTTTGACATCGTAACCCCAAAATCTAATCAGTTCATCGGCTCTGCAAGATACATACATGACCAAAGTTTGGCAGGAATCCATCAATCGGTTCTTCAGATAACGCGATCACGAGAACGGGACGTACGTACGTACGTACAGACGTACGTACAGACGTACGGACGGACAACCCGAAAACATAATGCCTCCGGCTACTTCGTAACGGAGGCATAAAAATGTTTGTTTAATAAATAGCATTATGTGGATTAACAACGATCCAAAAAGTGAAGTAGAACAAATATATGTGTAGTTTAATAGTTGAACTGGAATTTTAAAAAAACACCGTCTTGGCAAAGAATTCACTTTGAGGTAAAAAAAAAAAGAAGAAGATCTCATTCATTATCTCAGAGAAGTTTCAAAGACATTGTTGGCTTATCACTGTATGCAAAATTCAAATTGCGAGAACATGGAGAGAAAAAAATATCGCAAACTCCAAAAATGTAACAACGACGAAAATAAGAAACACAACAGAGTTATTAAAGGTACATGTTGCTTTACAGACGGACTTTCCAAAGGGGTAACATGGTGATGAATTAATCACCTACTCATCTGTTGAGAGGCAGAAGGACATTAACTTGTATGCTTTTAAACAGAGTCACATCAGCAGACGATCTGAATTTTTGTGTTGAACACAAAAACAACTTAAGATATTTTCGATCCACTTTTTACAAAGACCTCTTTAAAAGTCATTATTACCGTAATCAATATATCCGCAAAAAGCAAGACAATTTTTCTAACCGATGATTTTAGCACACTCCATGGATAATGACAAACCCCCGGATTGCTGTGAAGACCAAGATGAGAGCAGACAGACACAAGACTTTTAAAATGTCAAATCTTTTTCCTGAGGCACAGATGTTGTCTTACGGGAAGGCAGGGCACCTGTGTTTATCGACATTGGACCGACCATTAAAAGACTGATGGGAATTCCAGTCTCAAGACAGACGGAAATGCTTGCAGTAATGACATGAAGATATTTCTTAAAGGGGAAGTCCACCCTGAAATTAAGTTAGTTTTAATAGGAGTAGAAAAATGAGAGAAACAAGTCAGTGAAAGTTTGAGCAAATTCCGATTAAAAATAAGGAAGTTAGGATTTTTGAAGTTGTGATCAATCAAACACAAATTGGCAACTCTATGACGTATCATACGAGCTCAACTTCCATTTGCTCAGTACTAAAAAAATCTAAAATTTTCATTTTCCCTCAAGAAAAATTTCAACCATACATGCACCCTAAATATAATAATTGCAAATATGTTTCTATACTCCCCCTGCAAGGAACAAATATATATTCCGTCATCAATAACGAAGAAAACATGATTTTATGGAATATTATGCACAAAGCAAATGAAGGAGAGCTCGTATAATAAGTCACAGAGTTGCCAATTTGTATTTGATTGATCACAACTTCAATAATTCATAACTTTCTTATTTTCATTCAGAATTTGCTCAAACTTTCACTCACCTGATTTTCTTATTATTCTGCCTCTATCGAAACAAACTTATTTTGGGGGTGGACTTTCCCTTTAAAGACATGATGATGGTACCTGGTGCTGAACCAGGAATGTCTTTTTATGCAATTTCTAAAATATAGTGTGAGTTCCCAAAATGAGGGTTTGACTGAAATATTCCAAAGACGAAACTACACAAATAAAAGGAATCTACAATTAATTACCACCCTCCCCCCTCCATATGAACTTTCATTCTCTCATTGGTTTATCTCCCTTTCCTTTTCTCTCTCTCTCTTTCTCTCTCTCTCTCTCCTTTTCTTACTCACCTCATTCTCTCTCTAGCTCGTTCTCTCATTCCCTCATTTTCTCTTTTCCGCGATCCTTTGCTCGCCCATTTCCTCATTCCTCTTTCTTGCTCTCTTTCTCTTCCCTTCCCTCCCCTCTCTTTCACTCTCTTTGTATCAAGATAATGATTAATTACATAAAGGAATCGACTCCTTTCTTTTGCATTTTAAATGTCATTATTACTTAAGAAAGAAATTACTTCAAAGAAGGGATGAAGATAAACGCATAGAATATCAGTAAGCATACCCCTACTTCTAAGGTCATCACAACTGAAAGTGATAGCCCCTAACAATTTCAAGAAGTTATTAATTTTGTACATCTGCGACTTCCTGTCCATACTATATCCTATACCCTCAGATAAAACACTGCTGCATATCAATTAACAAAATCTATTCAGCCATCATACATTTGCTTCAAACATATCCAGGTCGACATGGGGGGGGGGGGATTTTTTCACCAAAGGAAACTGCAATTAAGCTTTGGGACCTTTTATGATATAAAATAAAAGAAATGGCTCACATTTTACAGGCCAAATATTGGCTGCTGGAGATTTTCTGAAGCTAATCTCCCTTTCTCAAATTCCAGGATCTTAAATCTCTAGACATAGCTGGAAATATGGAGAGATATTCATCAGTTTCTGTACGTGTAATTCATTTAATCATGGAATAAAAAGTTTTACTGAAAACTTTTTCTTCTACGCTTCCTTCTTGCTTTGATGTACCTTTCTTTCCCCTTCTCAATTACTATCCTCCTCTATTATTTTCCCTTCTTTTCTTCCTCTCACTCTTTACCCTCTCTCTCTCTCTCTCTCCTTCCCCTCTCTCCCTCTCTCTTTTCTTCTTTACCTCACTCCTTTCCCAGCTCTCTCTCTCTCTCTCTTTCATTCCCCTCTCACTCTTTCACATACATCACATTCTCCTCCTCTCATTCCGTATCATCCTCTTCTATTCCTTCTTTCCATCTGTAAATCCTCCTAACCTTTGACCTGCATTTGCATGTTATAAGACACTGTTAAAATATCTCTGATTTTTCACAAAGTCCATCCCTCCTAACATAATACCTCCTGATATAATCGCTCACTGTTCATAAGAGGAAATGTCATCGGACATTCGCCATTATTTCTTTGGTCACTTAACTGACCAAATAATCCTCGGTGATCGTAGATAAATACATCGCAGTAGCCGGTATTTCCTTTCAACATAATGCTCCGTGAAAGGACAGATAGAAGATAACATCCTCCATGGATTAATGATATTGACACCATCCCATCCACTTTCAACATCAACAAAATAACTACTTATCACAGGCACACATCATAAGTTATACCTACTTTACATTCACCCCAAACGTGATAGATCACAGGACTACTCATCAAAGAGTTCATTTCTTTTTCAAGTGCTTACCGTGATTTGGACTATAGCTAGGGGCTGAACAATTGATATATTAATTTGTATTGTTAATATAGATAATGTATTTTTCACATAGATACTGTTACAATATTAAAACAATATTACGGCACATTTCGCTTCCCAATAGTAAAACACTCACCTGAAATGATAAGTTCCAGAAATGATAAAATATCCAACAGCTTTCAAAAATGGAATGCTTCAAACATGTTAGCTTATAAAACATGGTGTTATAGTCTGAACATTTGATGACACTTAAACTCTCCCCAGACCAGTTTCATTCTTGAGGTGATGAGATCCACAGGTTCAACTGGACATCAATGTTTGTGGTAGAATATTTATAAAGAATCCACCTGACTCCTTTCCTCTCATTTCCTTCTGTTTTGTATGAGTCAGAGATGGTGAGAACTGGACTCTGACCTCAGATAAGGTCACTGATTATGGTCAAGCGCATGGTCAAACTCAAGGTAATAGAAACTCAGTAATAAAGATAACCCTGATTTATAGGATGTCATAATTGATTCAATATCTGCAAATATATATATTTCAGTATTTCTTTTAATGCAAATAAAACTAAACAAAATGTTTCAAGAATTGCAAGAACTTTAGGATAAGAATAGGAAAATGAACCAGGAATTCACTTCTTATATTAATCTTAATACAGGGCTTGACCACTATTAAACAGGCACCAGGGACACATATGGGCACTCAAAATTTGGATTCCAATTTTTTTCCACTAGGGCTCATTTATACAGACTCAATCTAATAAGTTCTAACCTGACCCTCTTCCAAAAAAGTTAGTGTTTCATTTGTGGAGCC